CTACTTTCTAGTTCATAGAGGTTGGTGTCTTCTAGATGTGACCTCACATGATGAAAGGGGCTAGCTAGCTCTCTGGGGCCTTTTTTACAAAGGCATGAAACCCAGACTTGAAGAAGAATCCCAATGACTTGATTACCTCTCAAAGGCCCCAACTTGTAACAGCAGTGCCTTTAGGAGTTAAGATTTTAACATACCAATCTGGGGTAGGTTAGGTGTTGAGAGGGACACAAACATTCAGAGCATAGCAATACAGAATATGGACAACTCCCCTTTCACAGTCAGAATTCTACCTTTGAGCTGGGGGCCGTGGTGCAGGCCTGTAATCCCAGTAACTTGGAAGACTGAGGCAAGAGGATCGTGGGCTCAAARCCAGCCTCAGCAACTTAATGAGACCCTGTCTCAAAAAAATATGAAGAGCTGGGGATGTGATTCAGTGGCAAAGTGTCCCTGAGTTCAATCCTTAATACCAAAAACAAAACAAAACCATGGCCCCCTACCTTTGACCATAAGTCTTCAAGTAAGGGAGCCATACATTCCAGAATGCAGTGCATCACTCCTTTTCCCACCTCATCCATCCTTTTTCTTTAATTCATTTTCTCTGGAGCTRTATCCTATATTAGGAAAGGTAGTTTCCTGATTAACATAGGTGATAATGAAATTAGAAGTTTAACATGAAATTCACCACCCCTAAACATACTATTCACATTGAGGTGTTGAAAGCCTAATTCTCCAAGTAGTATAGACATTGGTTCTATGAACTCCCTTCCCTCCTTTTGTTACAGAATAATTTTTCCTCCTAATCATAGCACTAACATATGGCATGTTATAAAGTATTTTAAGACGTTGGAAAAATATAAATAATAAGCATCCCTACAACCCTTTCCCAAATGTGAACATTAGCCTTTGGGTGGATCCTTCCCAGCTTCCTTGTGCTTTTTTTTTTTTTTTTTTTTTTGGCTTTTCTTTTTCTTTTTTTTATAGTACTGTAGTTCAAATTCAGGACACTGAAACACTAAGCTACATCACCTGACCTTTTCATTTTTTGAGACAGGGTCTAGATAAGTTGCCCAGAGTGGCCTTGAAATTGTGATCCTCCTGTCTTAGCCTCCTGAATAACTGTGATTAGAGATATGTGTCACCATTACTGACCCTTCCCTGTGCCTTTTAAAATTACTCTTTTCTTTTTTCAAATTTGGGATCATACTCAAAATTTTTATAGCTTGTAGTTAAGAAGTTGTATGAGGCCAGAGGTGTAGATAAATTGAAGAATGCATGTTTATCATGCACAAGGCCCTAGGTTTAATCCCTACTACCAAAAAATGAAAGAAGTTGCAAAGGAAGAAATCATAACACAAAATTATTCACTGGTGAAGTGACTGAYTCATTACCACTCAACATACTTTATCTCTTAAAAATTTGACTTATTCTTACCTATCTAATAATTGTCTCTGTCTCCATGCTGTGGMGTATCATCCTGAGATCAGTAAAGGATGCTGTGGGTCTCTGTGATCAGACAGATCTGTCTGGGTTAGACCAGTTGAAAAACCAAGGAAGAAAAAAGGAATCAATGGATGGTGACAGGATATGCCCTTCAAAGAAGAAAGATTGAATGTAAAATAAATACTTAATATTTAATGATGAATATTAAAATGAGCTTTTGGGCACATTGATGTAGTTCTCATATAGTGTTGCCATGTAAGTAAATGCAGATGAAAAAAAGGAAGTGATGTGCTACTGTTTATCCTTTTGATAAAAAAGTTACATTCTCTCATTGCAAAAAAATCCCACTATTGTATTAATTCTTTGACTTACTCTTTGATCTGTGATAAGGAACACCTGTATTTTTCTTACTTCTCTAGACTATTTTATTTTTGCTTCAATAAATAGTAACCAGAKAGCCACATTTTCCTATTGACTAAACATATGCCTAGAAAAGCTAATTTTTCTCTGAAATTAAATTCATGCTTTAAAAAACCTTGAAGCAGAAATTATAGTAAAAAAATTAACTTTTTTTAGGTCTATCAGTCCAATATAGAAGGTATTCACTCTACTTTCTTCTGCAGTTCTTAAAACCAAATTTTATATAATTTTTCACTGTTTGATTAGTGGATGACTGGTGACCATTAGACTAGAATACACACACTATTTTTGCTAATCTATGAAAATGGGTTTTTAAGTATTGCTAAATTTGTGCTTTTAATTATCCTAG